AACAGTGGGAAGGAAAAACTCCCTTTTAAGAAGAAGAATTGAAAAGAAAGAAAGAAGTCACACAAGCAACTAACGATTAAATGTATAGCAGTTTATAAACTAGTCATATAAAACAAGTAAAGTCAGGTTTTTCATTAACGGTCTTAAAACGAGGCTGGCTTTAGTTTCAAGTCTGGTTAAAAACAGGTCAGGTTTTATGCCGAACACAAACTAAATGTTAAGTCAGTTCTCAGGTCCTTTACACAAGACTAAGTGTGCTCTGGAGTTCACCAAACCAATTTAAAATTTGGTCTCCAGTTATGACAAGTCAAACCAGGTGTTCAAGTCTAAGTTTGGTCTAATCTGAGTGTCAAATCATCAACTTACCAAGTGTGCCAAGACAAGTCTGAGCCTAGTTAAAAGCACTTTGAGGCCACACTTGCACCTGAGTTATTTAGACTAGAAGTCACTCACTCAAAGTTTAAGTTGAGTCTCAAGATAAAAATAATTACAAAATAAATGTAAAAATGTATTTTAAACTATGTGTAAAGTAGAGGATACATGGTTACTTCTCAAATGTATGATGAACGTGATCCTAGTTTTATAGAAGCTACTATCAGATCAAAGTTTGGTGCATTATTTGTGTTGCATGAAGTTCTAAGTATCTCCTGACTGTTCTTGTGTCCTTTGTTCTTGACAGGCCACTGCATGGTAGTTCGGGAAGGCTTAACTAACCCCTGGATCCCAGATAACTGGTCATGGGGCGGTGTGGCCTCTGATCACTGCCCTGTGTTTGCAGAATTTTATGCAGACCTACCTCCTAAGGAGCTTAGCGGACCTGGTATGGCAGTGGTGGACAGGGGAGACATTCTGCCCAAACATGAGCGGTGACATCGGCTGCAGCAAAGACAGAACTGAATGACATGAAGATTTTAACCTATCAGGATTCTGCTTTATCTCGGTTTGCTGTGGCGCAGTTTCCTACAAAATGTGAACAAGTGCCAAGATTGCCTTTTGGGTTTCAGGTTATCAATGGAAAATCGTAAATGAGAAATATTCAAGCCATAACAAATGTTTAGACAAAAATATGATGTATTTTAAAAGAAATGTGCCAAACATTTTATATATGTATAGAAAAATAAAAATAAATTGATAGATGATCACGGTCTGTACGAACTCTTATTGATACAGTTTGAGCACCATCTGAATGACCTGGATCTCTTTACAGGCGCTGCTGTGTCCTTCATCTTTTATAGTTCACTGGAGAGTAAGATTCAATCTCAGCTGCTGAGCTCATGAAAGCTGTGTGCTTAATTATACAAGTGAAGCTTGTGTGCATGTGAACTGCCATACTTCCCTGAGAATAACGTTGCCAGGCACAGTGACATCACAGGGCTTTGCTGCTGCCCTTAAAACTGGTCGTTAACCACCTTCACAATACTGCTTTTGAAATTAAACAGCCAAGTAACACACACTTGTGTTATACTGCTCAGCACGAGGCACACACGGGGTTTTAAAAGCACTGTTTATGTGCACTGACGCCTTCCTGGGCTGCTGTTGCCGACTGGCTCTTTCTGTTTTGGTACACAGCTGTTCTCTCTCAGCTCCTCTCTCCCTCCACGTCCTGTGTGCTGCTCAAGCAGGGGAGGCATGATCTGATGATCCCTAACTGCATTGGCCAGCCTCCTCTGGCACTGCCCCCTGAACCCACTGCACCACTCCCCCCACTTTTTTTTTTTTTTTGCCCTGTAACACACACAGATTTTAGCACACACAGCTTTGAGCTATTTTCAGGTCTTACTGATCTTATTGACCTTACTGACAAAGCACTTTACACAGCAATCAGATCAGAAATTGACTCTGAGCAGTCACGTGATCCCATGACAGCAGAGATGACGCTGGTGATGGTTGGATGACTCCTCATGAAGTGATTAATGTGCTGCTCAGTAGTGAGAGCTGCTGGATTAAAAAAGTTACTGCAGGCAACCTGGAGAAAGAATTTGTCCCATGATTCTGATACCAGGAGACCAAATGATCCTGATTATAACCAACTGATGAAATACAAGGTGAAGTGTATGTATTCCAATTAATTTGGCATAACAGTATATCTAATATATGTTTGGTAAGGGTCTAAGGAGCTTGGAAAGAAGAATATTTTGTAATGAAGTATAAGTGAAAAGCGTAAAATAAAAATGAAAGTTTTGTTTGTGCTTGTCCCAGTGGGAGTGATCGCACTTGTGTGTGAGGAGGAGGAGGTTTACACACATGTCTGCAAATAAAATCGTGTTCATTCGTGTGAACATAAAGAAATGAGTCCACGAGCAAAGCATTGGGACGTAACCCACACTACAACTGCGCAAAAGTGGAAACCGGATCGGGAAAATAGGCACCGCACGGTGATAGGACACTGCTGCTGTACACGTCACATAATGTTTCTTAAAGCAATACACGCACCGATAACGGGTGTGGCTAGCTGTGCTCAGGGACCGCAGATTTCTACAGCTTGATACACTCACCGACGTTTTGGTATCGTGTTTCTTCATCTTCCAGACGCTGTCACTACAAAAAAATGTCAAACTCACTAAACTTAATAAAGAATTCCCAAATCATAAATGTGTTCCTTTTAATCTAGCTTTTAAAATAAACCCTGGAATGCAACCTCTGGTCCCCATCACAGGGACCAGTAGTGACCTGTAATGGAAATGGGTGTGACGTTTAAACCCATCATAACTCCATGTCATATATCCTCCTCTATGTCTATTTTAACATTTATTTCTTTAATTTTTATATCTCAATATCATTACATATTTTCTTGTTTAAAAAAAAAAACAGAAACACAAGTTGACTGAATCCAAAGTGTTGAACCTCATAACATTGTTAAATAATCAAGATTAAACTATCTGTCCAAAATAATAGAGATCATTGAGTAAGATCCTACATCTCCAGAGTTTCATGACTTTTGGTGTTCTTTAGATCAGTCACTGCAGACACAGCCCAGACAAACTGGAAGCTTCATGTTGCTTCACCTCACCGCCCGAATCAGGGTCTAATGCTGCATTTTGTTTTTCACATTTACAGTCTGTCAAACTTTTTCAAAAACTAAAACTAAAAAATGAGGGAAAGTGGAGGCAGGAGAAGCAGGTCCGAGTGTCAGGTGAACTGAACTTCAGGTAAGAAGTGATGACCTGCAGTCTGTCTGGGTCAGATATAAAACAAGTTTAGGTGGAGATTATTTTCGTTGTGCTGACTTTTTACCGTCAGTTTCAATAACTCGTACTGCGTACTAGCAAGCATGATGGAGTTTCTATACAGCTGGGTGGTGCTGTGATGTTACTGACTGTGAACTTTATTTTATTCATAGGGTTAGTTAGTAAAGTTGCCAACCGTCCTGTAAAAACGGAATCGTCTCGCATTCAGAGAAAATATTACACGTTTGGTATTGAGCTGAAAAGAAACAGTTTCATTCAGCTAGAATGGAAAAACACACAAAGCTGGATTTATTCTTTGTCTTTGCTGCACAGCTGCCTCTTCTTCTCTCATTCTCCCCCTCTCTCTCCTGTTGCTGCTTCAATCATGAAACTGATCAGTGATCAGCTGATTGGCTCTCTTGTTTGTTTATCACCCACTTTGTGCCAGAAACAGGAAACCAGCGGATGTCGCGCTAAACAACAGCAGCACGTTTAAGCTTGATCAGCTGTTGTTAGAATTTATTTAATATTAATTTCAAATATCAGCTGATGTTTGCTGGAGCCACAGCTGTAAAGCTGCTGGTCATGATGTCTGTTTGGATGTGTGGTGAGAGGGAAACATGAAGATGAAACCAGGAGATGTCCTTACTGGATCATCAGAGCTGTGATGGAGAAACAGGTTTACCTTTTAGGTGACATGAATGAGTTGAAGTTATGAACTGTTTCTGAGAGACAAATAACACCAGGATCCTTTTCTAAGTAGCTGACAGCTGGTAACTGTGCAGGGGCGGGGCACAAAGAAATACTTTTCTTTCTGATTCTCATTTAAAATTTCTCGCTTTTATTAAATAATTATCTGAATCTTACAACCAAAGTTTTTATCTGATGTAAAATGTATAGAAATCATACATATACCAACAAGACTGTACATCACTGTCACAGCAGCGTTTGTTTTCATTCAAAGGCTTTATGGCTTTTCCTATAAATACCTGGTGGGCCGGTCTCTAGTCAAAATGCCCATTTATGTCCCAGTCCAGCCCTGGCCGCAGCCAAAGCACTGAGCGGGCTCCGTCCATGAATGTGCTGCAGCGGGTTTTGAATCCAACAACGAAGCTGTGCTGCTGGTGATACATGATACAAGAATGCATGACTCTGTAGTGCCGACTTCCAATGTACCGGGTTGGCATGAATTATGTTTTTGTTTTTTCCTCTTGCGAAAACTTAGACAGGATTGTAATTCCTGCCAAAAAAGCAATTTCCGACATTTTCCAAAATTTTGATTGGCGACATTTAAACGATCGTAAATTACAAATGTTTAAAGCCAGAAACAATATTTTTGTCACAGGTAGAAACTGCAATCAGTTTTTTTTTTTGCAAAGCAACTTTTATGTTATTAATGAATGTATATATTTACATTCAACTCATTGACATGAAAAGATTTATTTTCCAAAAGAGATCGGACCAAGAGGGCAGCAAAATTGCAAAGACATAAAACAAAAATTAACATAACAATAATTTCAGAATATTTTAAGTGGTCAAAAAGGCTGAATCAAATATAATGTAGAACACAGTATGTAAAATAACGCCGAGTCGTAAAGATACCCGCAAAACAGGCCATTTCTTTATTTTATATGTAACACCTTCGTAAACCCTGCTGACTGCAGATTATTTTGTAATCTGAGCAAACATAAAAAACACACCGAAACACCGGAAGTCATTCTTTGGCACAACACCGGTCACGACCCCTCTCGGTGATTTTGATTGGCTCTAAGTGGTCCGTTGAAGATGTGGAGTCTGCGCAGTAGTCACAGCGCCGAAATTCAAATTTGAACAGAAGCTGTTTGGTACAAAGAGAGAAGCTGGAGTCGCGCAGTTCTAGTAGTTTTACTTCAAACTGCAGTCGAGTTGTTAGAAAGTAACCAGAATGGATCCGTTTACTGAGGTGAGTCACAGAAAAACTTTACTAATCAGCCAACAACGGAAGAAGCTGCGTTAAAGTGACTGGATAGTGCACAGCTAACGTAGAAACCAAATGTTATAATGGTAGTGCTCAGAGAGCACGGGGCATTAGCTTGTTTGTTATTAGCTTTAGACGTTGACGTTTTTAACACGGCTGAAGAAAACATGTCACGTGTTTCTTTGGTCAAAACGACTACATGAGCCACAAAAGTATCTCATTTTAATGTCAGTATGTATGTGGCTGGAACAAGTTAACAAGTATTTCGCTCCTGAATGATCGTTATATTTAAGCGCTCCTTAACCTTCTAGCGTCCACATATGTGGACATCACATTTTGGGTTATTTAGACCAAAATACTCAATTTTGCGCTACAAGGGCCTGATGTCCACTTACGAGGACATTATATGCTACTGTTCTATCAAAACTTTAAACGAATATCCTCATGTGACTCTCATTTTTCTTAAAAACAAAAATAAGGTTAAAAAAAAACCTGGTAATTCTTTGTTTTTACATTCATCGGGCCCCAATGTGACCAAATATCAAAGTGAAATTAAAAATGCTGCCGTGGAAGAGTTCGGGTCTTAGGAGGTCAAACAACGCCCCAGTCGTTAAACTCGCTGAGTGTCCGTAGCTGCGTCCAGCAGTCGGACCTGTTGGGCGTCAGTTTCTTTCTTTTCTGTTATTTTCACTCATGTCGGTGCTGCCAGCTAACTAACCGACATGAATCAGGTCTGATGTCATTAGAGTTTAAACCGCAGGCGTACAGGAGCGTGCGTCATTCTTCAGCAATGCTTTTCGTCAGCGCCTGCAGAGCTGATGTAGGGTGTCGTACGTGTCGGGACTTGCACAGCAGAATAGAATTAGGCCTTTAGTGCAATTGTTCATGGACAACGAGGTTATGGGTGCATTCCCGTTAAATATGCAGCAATTAAAATATGAATAGTAAGACAGCAGAATGAAACAAACAGGAGAAATGTAAGCGCAGTGTTAGAAACACGAGGGAAAGCAAACACGTTCTTATTATCTTTGGTTACTTCGTGTTTCTTTGGATGCCTTCACATGTTTCAGGAGTTATCAGCTCTGACAGCTAAAACTAAGAAACATTAGAATCTGACAGTGAGGGAAATATTTGTAACAGTAGTCAAAGAGAACAGTGAGAGCCCAAAGCTATAGGAGACTATTAAACCGTTTATATGAGGTGTAAACACTTGTAAATGATCTTTGATGCAGAAACTGTATCTGTGAGCAGCATCATCCCTTTAGATGCAGCAGCGTTGCCATAAATCCCTCTGTGCACCTGGCTTTAGTTTGTAATTTAGCTTGACTCTGTTTCACTAAAGCAGTTGAACACTACAGAGGTGATGTTTTATTAACAACCCAACTCTACCAAACTAGAAACTGTTGGAGCGAACTCGAGCTCGCAGAGAGAACCTCCAGAAGAAACTCGCAGAAAGAACCAATGCAGCGAACAGACAGGTGGTGAAAAGGCCTCGAGAGCCACTGACTGACACAAACATTGTGATCAGCGAGTCTCTTATTGATAAAGGTATGAGCCCCTTTAGTGTTTTGGCACTTTAACCTCTGAGCTGCAGCTGTCTTGTGTTTGCTTAAATCTCTTTATTGTTTTCAGTGCCCCAGACGTCCACAAAGCCATCTCCCTCGAAGCGCAAGTGCTCTGGAGAAAATGTCCAACCTGCAGCTGATGAAGAGAACCAGGAGCCGGTGATGCCACAAGCTCCTCTTCTCTCAGATCCTCCCACAGACAAAAAGCCCCCAGTGGGTCCAGCCAGCATCCGGCCTTTCTCCTCCTCGGAGAAGACTTCAGGAAAGCCTGTTCTGCAGTCTCAGGCAGTGCAGCTGAAAGCGGAACGCCCAGAACCCGACAAGGTGGCTGTCTGCACTGCTCTTGTTCCTCCAAGCAGAACAGAAGCACAGATAGGAGCCGCCAATCCAGCTCCTCAGAGTAACACAGAGGATCCAGCTCCATCTGCTGCTGGCATGAAATCACGCTTAAAAAACCTGGCAGAGCAGAGGAAGTGCTGGAACACTGACGGTAACAGTTTCCTGCTGTTTAATTTACATAGAATGATTAAATTAGAATTAAATTTACAGGAAGTTATTAACAAGACTTCAGGAGGAGGGGGGGGGGGGGGGACAAAATGATCATAAATAAATAAAAATTAGTCTGAGACAAAAGATCTCCATCCTGAGATAACAGCTGAGGGAATCTACATGAAATCGGCTCAACCAAGAAATGTGTGTGAATTTCTGTCTATGTAGAAAGTCCCAGATGTGGGATTTTTGATCATTTCTCACAGTTGCTGTAGTTTCAGAAACAGATCGTGCTGAGTGTCAGACTGATGGTACAGTGAGTCGGTCTTATGGCAGGTTTTAGTGACTGTGTGTAATCTAGTTTTAAAAATGCGATAATGGCAGTAATATCGTATCATAGGTCAGGTATTGTGTTGTCTGGTGATTCCCACTTCTACAAGCAGACAACAGGAGGTTGAAATGCTTTCAGATGCTGTCTATTTTAAAGAAATCTCTCTTATATGTAATGTAGAACTATATAACACACTGTTGGCTCTCTTATACGTGATTCTTTTGGTTACAGTTACAGTTTATGACACCAAGAAGCATTCAGAAAAACAGATGTTCCATCTTCGTCCTCAGATGAGCTCTAATCCTGAAATTCCAGATAACGTCTGTTTTTTACGTGTGAATAAACGTGTAAAAGTGAAATAGTTTCTCCCTTTTCAGATGCTTGTGATGTACCTTCAGACTGTATTCCTGTATCCACGATAAAGAGACCGTTTGATGCCCAACCAGCTGCCAGTCCCTCTGTCTCCTCAGAAATTTCCCTTGGGAGGAGAGGCAGACTGGCCAACCTGGCTGCAACCATTGGTTCCTGGGAGGATGATCTCAGCCATGCTAAAACCCCCAAAGAGAAAGCAAAGGAGACGCTCGCTGCTTCGTCTAGTCCCAGATTTACAGTCAGAGGTGCTGCGGCTTCCAGCACTAAACCCAGCGTTTCGGTGACCAGTTCAACCGTGAGGAGCAAGTGCACGGGCATCTCCAAGCAGGTATTCATTTTTTATCTTGTGCATAATCGCTTCACTATTCAAATTTTAGCTTTTCCTGCAAGGTTTCCTGGGTCACTAGAAATATATCTTCTGTATAAATAAACTGGCTTTCCATCTGTTTATTTTTCAGCAGGCTGCGTTTTCTCCAAGCCTTCAAAAAGCCGACTTGGTATCCAGTCCTCAGAAGTGCTCCAACCAGGGCGCGACAGTGTCCTCTATTCATCAGAAGACCTCGGTTGAGGAACCGGCCCTCTTATCTAGTCAGCAGAAGGCCAGCTCCTCCATGTCAGCGCTTCAAAGTCCCCAAAAACATCAGGCCCTGTCCAAAGGCCCAAATGTCTCCTGCAGTCCCCAGAAGCTGGAGCTTTGCGCCAAGCCCAGCTCATCTGACCTTCCAGCCTCGAGGGAAAAGGTTACTACAGGAGCTTTTGGTGAGTTGGACTGGAAAGCTGGTTATGATGAAAATTGCTCAGTGGCAGTGTCTGCATGTTTTGATATGGCCAGTTTCTTAGCACATCAGCCGATTCTATTCACTTGTGTACCAGGGGCACCTTCCTACATTGTCATTTAATTGTCTGCTCAAATCAGTGTTGACACAGACCCATTAGTTGATTCTATCCTCCACAAGTTAGAGTGATTTTTACCATCTCAAATAGGAGTGAAATCTTTGCGGGAGCGCATCAACCAGAGCTCACCTGCTCGAGTCGGAGTACAGACCAGCGCTGCCTCTGTGAGTCCAAACACCAGGTCGGTACAGGAGAGACTCAGAGCTGCCCAGGCTACAAACACAACCACCGCTGACATCACTATGAGGCAGAAACTGGTAGGTTGATGTCATTCTTGGTGCTGCAGTTATGTTTTTCGCCCTTATCCGAATAGCAGAATGGCACATTCTAATATCAAGCCTGCTCGTTTCAGGAGCGTGAGAGTGAGCTGGCTCAAATTTGCAGTCGCTTCCAGCAGAGGAGCAAAATGTGGAAGGACAAAGAAGGAGGAGCGGACACTAAGGTTGGACAGGAAGCATCAGGCACACGCAGAGTAAATAAAGTCTCCCAGCATTCACCCCAGTGGATTTTTCAAATGATGTACTTTTCAGGAAGAGGTCGTAAAGCCTGTTGAGAGAGAAGTGATCTCATCTGAGCCGCCGGATGAATTCCCTGCACCATGTAAGAAATCTGACGCAGGCGGCGAGTGCGCTCCTTCAGGTATTGCATGACAGTCCCGAACAGAGCCCGAGTACTCGGACTACTGGTAAAGTGAAGCTATCAGTTATCTGGTGTCGGGCAGATTATAATATGGCATATTGTTTTTAGTCACAGTGCAATGACTGCTGTGTGTTTTGTCACCATCGGTGGTTCTGTTGGACCCTCAGCAGTGATTCAGTTTAACTTCAGATTTTGAGTTTAGGATGTTGGTACAGCTCTACACAACAAAACAAACCATACTTCCTGATGACAATCTCAAGACTTGTAACATGGGTTTAAATAAACAGCAGGTCGTCAGCTGATGAGCTCCCCTCCAGTGTTGACCTCCAGCCCCCTGAAAGTGGCTGTTCACACTACAGATAAGTTGACTGAAGAGACCCCAGAGGAGAAAAGAGAAGAAAACGTGGATCAGTCTGTCAATTCTACCGTCATCAACGAGCTGTTTGGAGATCTAGAACAGAGTGAAGATCCCAGCGGTGATGAGGAAGATGCTTTAAACATCTCCTCGATGTCCCTCCTCACTCCACTGGCAGAGACTGTGGCCGCTGTGGTAAACAGTCCAGAAAAAAGAATGATGGTGAGCACCGACGAGTCCTCGTCCATGGAAATGCAGCGGTAATTGTTCAGTGATAATATTTTCTTCATGACTTGTGCAGACATCCACTCCAGCCAACTCTTTCATTATGAAGAGCACAACTCCCGACGATGTCGCCATAGCCAAAAGCTTCCAGACCTCCTCAGATGGAGATGGTGCAAGTGTCTCAAGTGAGGACCACAAGCTTCCCTACAGGTAAGTGTTTCCTCCGTGCAGTGCTGAGATGCTTCAGAGCCGTCTGTTTTCACCGTCTCACTGAATGTTTGTTGCTGTGTGCAAGTATCGATGCATACAGGTCAACCAGGGTGAAGAACACCGAGAGGCCCAGTGTGAAGCAGGTTATTGTGAGAAAAGAAGACGTTTCTAAGAGAGCCGAGGAGCCCCGAGCATCCAGCCTGTTCAGTGTCAAACAGAAGATAAAGGTTTACATTAAACTTGTTCCATATAGGATTTCAACTGGTAATAAACTACAGTCTGATCTTACACACAAATCTACCTTTTGTGTAGATTCTGACAAATGAAATCAACCTGCAGCAGACGGTTATCTATCAAGCCAGCCAGGCACTCAACTGCTGCACAGATGAAGAACACGGGAAAGGCTCGCAGGTGGAGGCTGAGGCAGAGAGGCTGCTGCTGGTGGCAAGTAAGCACATCTCTGTTTCCTTAGTCAGCTCAAGGTTGTTCACATAGCACGATCACAGAGTCTTGAGTAAAGGAACACAAATAAAAATACACATAGTGCTAATATTTAGTTTCCTGTATAAAATGTGAAAGCATTGCACAGACCTACCCTGTGTCGATGTTAGAGTTCCACATGTCGGTGTTTAGAAGATTAACGAGGGACATGGTTTGGCCCAAAGATATGACTTTGTTTACGTTTGATGGCCTCAGGCGAAAAGAGAGAAGCACTGAAGGTGGAGCTGGACCAGCTGAAAGGAAATCCAGGAGGAAGGAAAGAGGGGCCTGCAGCCCCGCAGCCAATGGCCTCCAAAGGCTGCATCACCCTGCAGGAGCTACGCCTGCCTCTCAAGGCAGACTTGTCTGTTCCACTGCCAATAAACCAGGTACACGATCCATAACTCTACAGTTCTCCATGTTCTCCATTAGACCACATCTCAAATGAGTGCTTTTATTAAACTGTTATTTGTCAGTTTTAAGAATCTTCAGTCAGAGTGAAATCCCACAATTTCACACTAATGTTGTCATGCTGTTTGTTTCCATTATTTCAGAGTCTACCAAACATTCATTTTTCATCATGATCAGGGCGGGAGCAGAGAACATTGTGGCCACGCCTTTAGCCACGACACACCGTGGCCTGAGTGGCGACACCCTCACCTTCCCCACCAAGTTCACTATGTGAGTCAGAAGCAGTTAGTGGAGGCACTGTTGGCCTTCAGTCACACCGCTGTGGTCACTCATCATTTCAGCACGTCGCCTCTGTTGTTAAACACTATTAACTAAACATAATCAATTTATTTACTGATTGCTGAGGAGAATCTTTGACTTTCAGATCTGACGTTGACAGTGGCTTTGACATCAGTGTAGAAGTATACTGTCTGGTACGTGTCCTCGTTCTGCAAGTACTAACGCTGTATTTCTGTGACACCGTCTGTTCATAGTCTTCTGTAAGTTTCTGTTTTGCAGTGTTACTGATGGTGCACAGTGCTGTTCCCTTTCAGGTGCAGAAACGGGAAATCTGCAGTGACAAGAAGAAGAAAACCAACAAGTCGAAGGTAATTCCTGTTTTATTTTACGTTTGTTGTTTGCTGTTGGGATATGCTTTTAGAGTGTGTGGCTGTTCTCACTTTACTCTTTAAAACAAATGTAATATTTCTTCATCTTCCTAGGCTATCACTCCAAAGAAGTTCCTTGCCATCACTGTAAGTATTTAAAAAAAACTAAAACTTTAAAGGAAAAATGAGAAAAAGGCTCCTTTTTTCCACATGTTAATTAATTTATTCTTCTCCTGCAGAAGACGACACAGACACCAGGTATGTGACACTAAGGTTTATACAAACTGTGCTGTGAAGACTATTATGTAACAAAGTGTAAAAGATACAGAGTGATGGTCTCAATATAAGCTTCAAGGAGAAATGAGCTTTATTAGGTCAAATAAACGTACTGGATGAATCAGTGATCTGTTGTTCTCACACTGTGGATTCTGTTCATTTGGGCCGTTTTAAACAGGAGAAACATTTCAATACTCTTCCAGGTGACGTCTTTAGTCACAGTGTGACAGCTTTTGTGTGGAAAGTTGTATCTGAGCAAAACCAAATACAGATGTTTAGCTATAATGCATGTCTGAAAAAACAAATGAGCCAGATGGAGCCAGAGTGGGTACACATCACCAGTGTTTTCAAGTCAATATATTTCTAAAGATTCTTTTGACATGAAATTCTCACTAGATGTCAGTAATGAGGCACCTTTTTATAGGAACCAGCTGAGACGCATTTGCACCCAGTAGCAGGGTTTCTAATTACTGACAGATGTCTGGGGGTGTGTCCATGCCTTTTTGCACCTTCCTTTTTTCATGTGTTCAGTACTTTCCCCCTGTGTCACTTGTCATTATTAAGCATAATGTATGTTGTTGCAGTTGTGGCCAGTCCTGGAGGCCCCAATGCGGTTCGCACCAGTAACTTTGCTCTGATTGGAGCATACAAGCTCACCCTGGCTTCAATTGGGAAGACCCAGTTTCCTTTGGAGAAGGTATGAAAGCCCCGAGTTCATAGTCCATGTATATCTGTCTCCATTCACACTGTTGCATCCATGGCAGTAACATCCTCATGCATCTGTAAACTCAGTAATTATGTCAGCCTATGTATGTAACCATGACACACACACACACAGTGTTTCCATGTCCATATTCACCTGTAGACTGCACCACTGTTTTTCTCCCACATGTACTGAAATCAAATGATTGTCATTTCTTATTTTCCCAGTAAAATATAAAGAAATGTGCAGTGGCTCATGACTTTTGCATAGTGCTGTATGAAGTGTTAGCCTTCCATTCAGTCTGCCTGCTCTGGGTCATAGGTGCCATTCCTGTGCCCTTTGGAGGGCCACATCTACCTTAAGATGCACTGTGAAGTGGGCTCAAAGGTGGAGGAAAGGGGCTTCCTGGTGAGTATGGCTCATGAGGCTGATGCTGGCCTTAATGTGCTGCTGCTACAACTATTCTTGAAGTCTAATCATCTGTCTTTGTTTTTTCTTACCACAGACGATGTTTGAAGATGTTAGTGGGTTTGGAGCTTGGCACAGACGATGGTGCGTCCTGTCAGGATACTGCATCTCCTACTGGACTTACCCAGACGACGAAAAGAGAAAGGTAACAATGCTGCGAGCCAGCAAGCAACTTTGTCTGTTACTCTACATTCACGTGCTGACTAATATGTGACTGCTCTAAACCTGCAGTAACAACTGAAAAACATTAAATAGACGGTGCCAAAGTTTAAAGCTTTAAGAATAAAATGTAAGCAAAGACTGAACAGGGTTGTTCTACATCTCGTAGAATCCCATTGGTCGCATCAATCTGTCCAACTGCACAAGTAAGGCAGTGGAGCCAGCCAGCAGAGAGTTCTGTGCCCGACCCAACACGTTTGAGCTCATCACCATCAGACCACGGAGAGACGATGACAGAGAAACGCTTGTCAGCCAGTGCCAGAACACCACGTGTGTCACTAGGTACGTTTCCACCATATGGACAGGTACTTACTCCTGAAGAGTGGCTTGATGACAGTCAACATACTCTGCTTGTTTTCCTGTGCAGAAATTGGCTGAGTGCTGACACCAAGGAGGAGAGAAATCTGTGGATGAAGAAGCTGAACCAGATTCTGGTGGACCTGCGGATGTGGCAGCCAGATGCCTGTAACAGACCGCTGCCCAACTAATCCCTTTGTATTCTTTGGACTGCTGATGATGCATGGCTTACTAAGTGCAATATACTATCATACCAGTTGGATATTTGAGTAGGATCATTGATCACAGGAGGTGAAATAAACATCCGACACATGCTAGAACAGGTTTTTCTGCATTGACGTGGGTGTTGGGTTTTTATATATCTGATGCATAAGCCTGGTTTGATGTGCTTTGGCTGATGTTGCCACGTTTTTACGTTAATGCTAATATTTAATATGCACATGCTGCATGGCTTTAAAACTTTTGGTTTCAGTGTTGAAATTTGAATGTGCGTGGTGTTCAAATTCCTCTGTCTCTAAATATATACGTGTGTGTGCGCGCGAGTGAGTGTGTATATGTGTCCATGCTTTATAACCCCCTCCCCAAAAAGTATTATGTTCAATGGAGATAACTGGGGAGCCGATCTGTTACATATCCTGCTCTGAAGCCTGAGTCTGCATAACCAGCATGCTGGCCCATGTCCCAGCTGCCTGTCTTACCCTACTGTGCATGTCTGTGGAAGAGAGAACCAGGCAGGCACAGGTAGAACATGTCAGCTCCACAAAGAGCTCCAGACATCAGTGTGATGCAGCAGTGTTTAACCACTGTGCTTCCATGTTTCAGTTTTCTTATTTTTAATTAAAATGTAAAGCTTCTGTCAGATATAACACATGGCTCATCTACACAAAGAAATTGAGGGGGGGGGGGTTTAATTTAGGTGACAGTTTTGACCCCTCAGCTGTAAAAGGCTGATGAGAGCTTGTCACCCTGGCAGGTGGGCAGGCAGCATGGACATGCATATGAACACAGTGACGTAGGAGTTTATACGATCGGTATAACTAGTGTAGTTTGAATCGCAGCGACGTGGAGGGGGGAGGTTGAGGTCACTTCACTTGTGACAGTAACTTGATGATTTTAAAATTGATGCCACCCGTGTATCTACCAGGAAGCTGGGGGCAGCATCAGCAGCCACCTTTTTCAAATGTCATTTTATATACATGTTAATGAGTCTCAGGTGTAACAGCAAACTACAGAGTGCACGTTTACCTCTTAGGTACCTGTGAGACAATGCAGAGTAAATAAAATAGTCTAGTGACCTGCAAATAAATAACATTTTCAATAAAAGCACTTTTTTAAAAGCAAATGTTGATAAATGCAACCTGAAAATGGTCTCCATGCATCATTATCTCTAGTTATCTCTTGTTCCATCCTTTTACACTGATTTGGTAAACGTGGCTGTTTAACAATGTACGCTACAAGCTTTATTAAAAAAAGAATGGACGGGCTGTTTTACATGTTGCTGTGTAATTATATTGAATGACAACGGTGCTTTTTTACCTTTTTGCAATTTGGTGCATTAAAAAGAGTATTTGCCCTTTTCTGATTTCTTGGGGTTTTCCACAGTTGTCATGCTTGTTTCAGATTATCAAACTAAGTTTAATAGAAAAACAACTCCAGTAAATACAAAATGCAGATTTAAATGATGATTTCCTTTATTGGAGAATAAAAGCTCCAAACCTTACTGGATAAAGTCAGTTCCTAAACTGAATCACTGGTTGGGCCTTCTCAGCAGCAAGAAGTGCAATCATGTGTTTGTGATAAACAGCAAAGAGGTTACACAGCGATGATGCAGGAAACAAGTGACCTCACTGAGATAAACAGTTCTGTCGTGAAAATAAAGTTTCCACAGGACTCTGCAACCACATAAATACCGAAGTACATCTTTAATGGCTTACATGAGATTTCAGAGTAACAGCCATGTGTTGCTAACAAAATGCACTTGATTACCTGATCATCAGCAAGTGTGACCTATAAAGACAGCTTTGGCAGTTGGCTGGTCTAGATCGTGCACCTCTCTGCTTTTGTAACCTGACACATTAAGACAGCTGCTGCAGCTGGAACGTCATTAAATCTACCATCGTAGATTTAATGATGTTCCAGCTCAGGAGCCCGGGCGGTCAAATACCTTACAATGCGTCCTGAGGTATTTAAACAGGAGCAGTATGTGCTCCTTTGTGCAAGGAGGAACAGGATGAGCACTGCCAGAGCCCCACTGACCACCAACAGGGCCTCTGACCAATCAAAGAAACATTCATCAGGCTAAATTTGAGCAGTCCATATAAAATGTGTTCATGCTGAACAATATTAGTTTTCTTAGCCTTTTCCATAGATGCTTATTATGGAAAAGGCTAAGTAGAAAAGCATCAATATAAATACCACCCAGAAATAGAAGTAGCTCACATTTAGTTTCTATTTTAGCACGATAGACTATTTTAGCATGACCCAACCCTCGCCCCCTACCGCTGCTGCACTGGCACGGCCTGTGGTGCTTATTGTGCTTAGGTTATGTTCTATGTGCAACAGTTACTAAATACATCCATCCAGTCGCTTCTGCTTGTCCTTTGCTGGAGCCTATCCCAGCTCTCAGATTTAGTTACTAAATCGCTCAAAACTACATTTTTAAGTGTTTTATTAAACATGTCTTTAAAGGCTAGAAATTTTTAATCAAGCTTTGCCTTTATTTGCTAATATGGGACAATATGGATTTCTAGTCCGTTGCTCACTGCAGAACTCTGGCTTCACTAAAGGCTTTGAGGGCATTATTAGCTTTAAGGCATGCAGCTGAGTTATATCTGGGAGTAAAACTTCCTCTGATATGTCACTTTGTCCTTCAGAGAACCCACAGCATTATATGCACTATATACTATTACCTAAATAATCGTGATGTCTCGTCATGTAAATAGTGCAGATATTAATTGACACAATAAGCAATCAAACTGCTGGCCTAACAAAAGATGCAGATATTCCTTTATAATAATCAACATAGACTATTCTCCCATTCACCACCCACATGTGTCTGTCTTCCTCCGCTCGGCGACACACCTGCTGGGAATCAAACTCTGGTACTTGGTGATTCTGTTCTCAGACATTCAAGCTACAGACACCAGCAGCCACAGTCAACTGTCTTCCAGGAGCCAGAGCAGGCGACACCGAGGGAAATTTATGACCCTGTGGACAATATCCTGCCTTGTGGGTCAGCAGTTGAGGACAGGGGGAGTCAAACCTCTTATTTAATGGGACATATCTCTGTGTGACTTCAAGTGGGCTAGACTAGTGAAACAGTTACTGGCACTGAATACCCAGTGTAGCACGCCATTCCTGTACAGTGCCAGGAACCTACTCTCTGTGGCAGTAAAGAAGGCTAAGTCTCACGTGTTAGTGGTGAGCCGTGTAGTTAGAATGATGGAGCACATTTTCTAAATAGTGTGATGTTGGAATATATGGTTGAAGTAGCTCCAAAAGCAGGAAGGCAACACTGTGAAGTTGAACTGAAAACAGTTTTGCCCCCTTTATACTGTCTAGAAAAAACATTTCCTCTGCCTGAGCTGCACTATAAAGCTGTAAGTACGAAGTGTGTCAGCCACAGAGCGAAATGAATCTGCCCCAATTGCTTCACTGTTGCTGAGCTGAGCTGGCTGGAGGCAGCGTGGTGGCACATGAAAAATGGGACAAGTCAGTTTTGTGTGTCACAAAAGTGGCTCTTTTTAAAATCTGGTTAAATCACCATAGTAAGTAATGCTGAACATACAACTTGGGATACAGTAAGTTAAATTCAGAGTTCTGGTTCAAAGCTAGCTGGAAGCATCACATTTTCTCACCGATCCTTTGATTTCGTGAGTATCTACTCGGCGATGGGAAGTTGAATCTCTGATTCAGTTGCATCAGTGTGATGTTGATCTTGGTTGCAGATCACCGGACCAGCTCTTTATTCTATATTCGAGTGTGGTGACAGTTTGACCCTCCAGTCTACATCTGTTTTGTGGACTTGGACTTGGACATTTGATCATGTCCCTAAGACGGGGTCCTTCAAGAATTTGGGGTGTCTGACCTGTTGCAACATTGGGAGAGATTGTTCTGGATCACCGGTAATAAGTCGAACTTGTCTGTTGATTGATTCTAAGAATAGAATAAGGTATTTTTTACTGGTGTAATTTAATTTAATTTTCAATTGTTACAGACGGGACAGACATGGCTGGGGGATAGGAAAGGGAGAGAGAAAGATGAAGGAAAAGGAAAACAGAAGGAAGAGGGACAGTGAGAAATATACAAATGTCCTGGATCACCTGTTGAGAGAAAGAAAAGAGAAGCAAAAAAAGAGAGCAACATAATAAACACAGCACCATCGCATTAATCTAGCTAAGTGTAAATAACAGTAAATACTATATACTGAATGTTGTTGTGCAGCACGCAGGACCGACAGTACACAATGTGCTTTGAGGTAGCAACAGTCTTCTTTATTAAGATTACTTAGTGAAAAACACTGAATAAGTATTCTTGGTGTGTGTTCTTTGTTCTACTACATTTCAGCAAATGGTGTTGGGAATGCAGCAGAGTACAGTCAGATATCACGCAGTACCATCTGGAAGCCATTTGATTGGAAACAGCTTTATTATTCAGCATGCCGATGATCCCGAACACACCGGCAGTGGAGTAAAATCATACCTAAAGCCATTATTTACAAATAGAGGAAACAGGAAACATTGTTAAACCTACCAAAGTTTCTCGAAGAGTGCACTGACGACTTATCTGGGAGGTCACAGAAGGACCCTGAACATCAGCTAAAGAACTCCCGACCTCACTTGCCTCAGTTAAGGCCAGTGTTTATGATTTCACAATATGACAGAAACTGGGCAAAAATGGCGTTTATGATAGAGTTCAGAGGCAAAACCCACTGCTGACCGAAGAGAACACAAATACTGTGTAAACTAGGAGAATAGATGAGCTTTTAAAACTCTTGCGATCCATGGTGGGCTGTGTAAACTTAAATCTACATGAAGAGTGACTGCATTAGTGTATCAATACCATACTCTTTGGGTGTATAAGACACATATCATGTCATGTTCTTCTTCTGGCACATGGTGGTGCTAAACATGTTCTAAGAACTTCTCCAGCTTCACAGAGTTAAGTCTGTGACAGTTTTTAGAGCAGGGCTCCGTGCTGTAAATGAGCCTTTTTACATGTCATGTCCACTTTAAACACAGTCGGTAGGCTGTCATTCAAGCATCTGCAGTTTCCTTCCTCCACAGCAGTATCTGCCCAGCACCCCTGTGTATTTTCCATTACACAAAGTAGAGCGGCGTGCCAGGTCAAGACTGCCTTTTCCCTTTGGCTGGAGGGTGACCGCCGGCAGTAAAACACTACTGAAGGTGTCATTTTTTTCTACATAATCATACCAGTCCTGGGCTTCTTGGTCCTGGAGTTTCATTAATGATGGATTAGTGAAGACACACTGTTGGCTGCAGCTTCTCTATCAGGTTCTACGTGTGTGTTTAGAATGAGGTCAAAATGAGGTTGAGAGACGCCACCACTTTTCTACTTGTATCTAGTCCAGTCGGCTGCCTGCTAAGGACACTGGAGGATGACTGTTACTGAGGGCATACTGGTCTCCAACCATTACAGTGTTCTGAATCACTTTCAGGTCAGCTAATGTGAGTTTGAGCTAACTCAGGGGTCACAGTAGCAGCACCAGTGGCTAGCAGCATATCTTTCATAGCCGTTCCTCCAGTCTTTTAAACAGCTGAAAAAAAAGACTTTAAAAGCATGGCCATCCATGTTGGGGTGTATACTCAGCAGCGGAGAGGGGTGCAGGGTTGAGGTGGGACGTTTGAAAGCTGTGTGGACTTCTAATCTGATTCCCAGTCAGCTCCAACTGTGAACGGTGTAAACTGCAGTTTTCAGAGCTGAGAACAGGATACGGTGATAATGTAAGAGGAACCACTCCCTTCCTTGCTTCGGTTTCCTGAGAAGAGTCTGGCTGCCTGCCGACAAGACCCCACCCAACCAACCGTTTAGCACCGAGTGAAGAGATAGCAGGACCATTTCTGCAAACTGCCAACTAACGATTACTAAATGGCCGATTTTGTGTTCATCCAGCACGTAGTTCAGATAAAAACACTTTCAGATTATCAGGACAGATATTTGACTTTCGTGTGCTACAGAGAGCAACTTTCTATTTTACTTTTATTTAAAAGTATTTGCCCCCTTCCTGACTTCTTATTTATTTTACATATTTGTCACACTTACATATATATTATACTCATAATATTAGGCAAAGATATCCAAAGTTAATACAGTATTAGTTTTTTAATTATTTCATCTGAACCCTGTGTGCAAAAAGTAATTACCACCCCTTATTAAACCATGAATGAACTGTGATTAACCAGAGTTTTTGAAAAGCTACACTCAGACCTGATGACCCAAGAAATCACAAAGTCTGATAAAATGAAGTAGCTAAAAGATCCCATAAAGCAAAACACAGCATGTCCTCGAGCTAAAGACACTCAGGAGCAGTTTAGAAACAGAGTCTTTGGGACTTCATTGAACCATGGTGAAAGCCGTTATCCACAAAGGAGTGGGTGACACAGTTAAAAGTCAGATGTAGTGGTGGTGGTGTGATGATCTAGGGCTGCTTTGCTGTTTCAGGACCTGACCAACGTACTGTAATTGATGGAACCATGAATTTAGCTCTACAAGAAAATCCAGCTCAGTTCATGCCCTGAAGCTTGAGTGCACTCGGATTATTCAGCAGGACAATGACCCAAGACAAACCAACAAGTCCACCTCGAAATGGTACAAAGAAAACCATCATCAAGGTTTTGGATGTTTTGAAATGACCTTAAAACTGATCCAGATGCTCTGGAATGACCATGAAAAGCAGTTCGTGCTCAACAATCCTCAAATACGGCTCAACTGAACACTTCTGTAAAGACAAGTGGGCCAAAACTCCTTCACAGTAGTTTCAAAGACTCATTACATTATTTCAAATGCTTGATTGCAGTTCCTGCTCTCAAAGCTGGCACAAGCAGTTATTAGGTTTAGGCTAATATTTTTCCACACAGTGCATGTTGGCTTTGGTAGCTTTTCCCTTAGTAACAAATAAAAGCAAGTAAGCCCACCAGCCTCAATAAATTAAATAATCCCTTAACACTACATTTTGTATTTACTTGGGGCATCTTTGTGTGAAAGATTTGTATGACAAACATGCCAAAAAAATAAAAATTAGGAAGGGAGAAAACACTTTTTAACGGCCCTGTTTAACCAACGGATTTACAAATGTACTTTTATTAGTATAACTGAACACATGATGTACAATTCCCTTCCTTTGAAGAAGTGGAATCAAAGTCGTGTTTTATAGCAAATAATTGTCCATCACGGTCATCCATGGGCACCCCGACTTTGGATGCAGTCCTGTAGTTTGGTGCTACACAACCCATTTGCTTACACACAAGGACACACGATAACACGTTTACCTTCAACAGCACATGTGGTGCAGCTGGAACCAGTGACACCGAGTTTGCTTCTGTTTTTCCCACAAAGTTACCAAATTGTAAACTTGTAAAGCCTCGTTAGGCTACCTTTGAATAAGCGAACAAGCTCGCGTTCATAGCACTGAGACGTGCAAAAGCCGGTGGCTGCGAATCCTTAACTCAATCAGTAAGAACTGCTCAGCCTTTTATCTCACTGCAGCAGCTTCGACGCTTCCACTCTGATCATGTTAATCGATGTCCAAAAAAGTACTTGAGCATTACTTTTAAAAGTGTATTATTAATGCCTTACAACAAAAAGGAAGTAAAAAAACAAGAAACAATCACTACTCACTGAACATGAAAATAAATTCTCAGATGACGTTTAACATCACAGTTTTTATCCAATGTTAGCAGCACTGACAGTGGCACAGTAATCACAGGACGGGCTTAGACATTACAACAATGCAAGTAAAGCATGTGGGTCCAGTCTATGTTCTGCAATACAAGGAGACATGACCCTGAAGAACTTAATAAATGAAGAAATGTGGCTGGTGACCTGAAAACTAACATCTTAGCAGCAATGCAGATGACACTTGCATATCAAAAAGTATAATGCTGACTGATTGTCATCTTACTCCAAGTGTGACTCTGACTTCTCACTGTGGTTTTTTATGATAGTAGTTATAGTTGTTAGCTTTAAATATTTGAGCACTAACGTCAATTATTGACTACATTTTGTAATATAATCTAATATCAGAGAGTATATAAAGCCCTTTTTTGGTGCAGTTGATTGAAAAGCAGCCTCATGCTAAGAAAACAACTCACATGAGTCACATTTTGGTCTTTTGACACTGCTGTCAAGTGAAGAAACTGATTACTGTTATGTTTAAACAGTAACCAGATGATGAAAATCAATTAGTGTAAGTGTACTCTTGTCATGTCATCGAGACGTGTCAGCAGGAACACAGGCGCACCTCTGAAAAATAGCTTCTATTCAACTGTAGCGATTGTGACACGTGACGCTGTTTCTAGGAGTCAGTAGTGATTCTGTACTTAGTGAGTCGTTGTCAACTTTCAGAGCTTTGGTGGAATATACACGATCGAGACTTATTTGATTGTTTTTAAGTTGGTACAGCGCATGTTTCAACAAATAAACACAAAAGCTTTTTGTCCTTCTTTGAGAGTTCGGCGTATTGCTGCACTAACTTTAGAATGACTGTTTGCATTCAGAATCCATTGCACTGTCCTCAGTGGGAGCACCGGCTGACTTTAAGCCATTTCAGTTGAAGGAACAGACCCAAACAAAAAGGGGCAACTGACAGAATGGGTATCACTGTTCCAGCTAAACCCAGTGTTGTATTCAGCCGTACTTGTGCAGCTTTAGATTCTGCTCATAGTTTGTAGTTCCTCTACTAGCACATCATCTCTTCCTCTTTTGCTGCCGCAGCACCTTTCTCCTCTTCATGATCATGGCATGGAGCTTCTCCAGTCCCTCCTGCAGTCCCTCGCCGATAATGGCACAAGCAGGCTGAAGGTGCCAGGGTGTGGCAGTGTTGAGCTCACCTAGAGACAACATGCTCTCCATCTCAGGCAAACTAAGAGAATTGCGCAGGTCCTGTTTGTTAGCCACCACAAGGACCGGCACACCCTGGTTCTCTGCCAGCCGTGTGATTTTGTGCAACTCTGCCTTGGCTTCCTCGATGCGCTCGGCATCCACCGAGTCCACCACAAACACAATGCCATCAGCACAGCGCGTGTACGAGCGCCACAGAGGCCGCAGCTTCTCCTGGCCGCCTACGTCCCAGAAGTGGAAAGACGCAGTCCGACGGCTGCCTCCAAGAGACACTTTGATCTTCTCTGTGTTGAATCCCTTGGTCGGGACAGTGTTCACAAACTCATTGAAACGCAGGCGATACAGCACAGTGGTCTTGCCTGCACAGTCCAGTCCTAGAATGACAATGTGAAGAGCCTGAAAGCAGGGGAGGCAGGGGAGCAGCGAGCGATGATCCGACAGTCCGTTTCCCATCTTGGCACACAGACCGAAAGAAGTTGCCACTAAATATTCCCGAGGTTGATCTTGTTGTGAAAGAACTGCAGCAAAAGCTAGAATGTAGAGGAGAAATGCATGAGTCAAGGCATGCAAACACACAGCACTCTGTTACTTTACAAGGGCACAAACACCCAGGAAGTGAATAAACCCACACACCCTTACATTATCCTGACACTGAGGACTGAGCTCGGAATAAAACAGCAGGGCGCACTTCAACGTGTGACTCGTAAACAACGGGGAAGGAGATCTTTTAAATTCCCCCCAAATCCATCCGTCACCTCCATGGACAGATCAAAACCGGCCTTTGTGTTTTTTAAACTGAGCACACTGACATGTTGCTTTAAAAATGTGTTGCTTGGCAACCGACTTCTTTATGCCGAAAGGTCCGTTTCTAATCTATAAATTAAAATAAATCTTACGTTACTAACAAATCGACATGTGCTGAAGAACTGGGCTCCCGTGAGGTCGCTGATGAACACGTTTCCGACGACAAGAAAACTGCGTTTCTATGACTTTATGCCCGGTTTGCAGCGGCCGCTCCCGCCCTGCTCACTGAAGGTAGACACACGGAGACGGCGATAAGTGATGCGCCACCAGCGCTTCATTAAAACCTAGTATTAAGAGTTAGCCCGAACTGAAATATGGCAAATAAAGATTGATGAAACATCTCTATCTATATCAAACACTGTGAATACCTTTAGCTTGTTATCCGAGGAGCGGCGTCAGTTTGTGAGCGATCCAAATGGAGTCTGGCGTGCAGTGCTGTGGGTCCTGTGTTACAGACCTGACTCGCTTGCAAAGCCAACAAGTGTTGGAAAAAGCAGTCTTAGCGCTTTGGGCCTTTTATGCACGTTTACATATAAAGCAGCGTTAGGTTAGCGTTACATGACAAAGCAGGCGGACATCAACGCAATTTGCTTCATTGAGGGGAAATTAATTTGAGCTGTCTCTGGGGTTGGATATGATTTCCCGGCTGTTATCGCTGTTTTCTACAGAAGAACGGATCCGTCACAGTAGCAGCGTAAGAAACGTACCTCGACAAACGATGTTAACCCATCACAGCTGGCAGTGCGTCCACAGGTTCGGTCACCCACCGCTGTCACCTCCTCAGACGTCTACAACTACTACTACCTCTCCATTCCGCAGCGGCGCTAAGACCACTAGAATAAACACCACTATTTCCGCTTTCGCTTTTCAAAATAAAAGCACAGCCGGCATATTTGGTTTGGCTGACTTCCACAGGCTTCGAAGCAAATCACGTAAAAGGGAAGGGCTCATTAAACGTACCGATACAAAGGGTGCTGTTGTTTGGAAGGGTTTGAAATAGGAAATTATATAGCTTTAGGTTTCCCCATAATGCATCATCCTCGTGTAAAATCTTGTAATCATACAAGAGCTGCGAGTCCAGCGTCAGTGGCCTATTTATACGATTCCCCTCGTGTTGTACGCCCACCACGGGAACATTCGTCAAAACAGGATTATAGTAATACTTGTAATAGTAATGGATACTAGTGATATTAAAAGTTTATACTATTTCAGAGTTACTCGGGATTCATTCCATGCACTTTATAGTCTAATTATCATGAACCTCAATTTTTCCAAAGTTATGTAACACTGTTAATTTAAAGTCATTTATTTATATATTTATTTATTTACACTCAAACCCGGGACTGTGCATCAAAGAGCACGTGTCGGTCGAAAGGTTTCTTTATGTATTTATTTATTTGGAAGAAGGCCAGTTTTTCAGGTTAGTATTCCACACACAGTGGCCTAAATTATGTTGAAGGGTTTAAAAATACATTATAGACGGGATACACATGGACAGGTCGCTAGTCCGCCGCTGGGCTAGACGCAGGGAGGCAGACACATTCACACCTCTGGGCAATTACGAATTAACATAATCCTTCTAACCGCATGTCTTTGGATTGTGGGAGGAAGCGGGAGTATCCGGAGAGAAGTCACCGGGCCCCGGGTGAAAACATGGAAACTCCACACAGAAAGGACCCAGACAGGTGCAGTAGGACCTTCTTGCTGTGAAGCAGCAGTGCTAACCCCCACGTATACAATTTAAAAAACAAAGAAACAACTACATTGCTTATTTTAATTTTTATCATATTGTCTCCAGCCCATAAATGAGCAACTCTGCTCTGTGGATGAGGTTGAGATTCACGTGCTTTTGGATCAATATGAATGTCGTGGCCAAATATTGTTTATTACATATTTTTAATTATATTATTATAGGCATAGTTGGTGCTTGGAAATGTAAAATTCATCTGGGGGCATACAAACATCTACACCGGGCCTCGTGTTCACCCTCTGGTGGTGGAATTGTATCATTCAGACTGTGACTACTTGCATACATGGATGGAGAAACTAGAAGACTAAATACACTGAGTCTGCCACGCTTTTGTTTCAACTGTTGTAAGAAGTGGTAACAATTCACAGGAAATGAATGACTCTCATTCACACAGTAAATATAAAGCTACCCAGTACACATCTTGCAAGCACAGAGCAGCCAATACACATATTCAGAGCAATGCATTTGCATTTTTTAAAACTGCTGTTTTTGTAAGTTTAAGGGATTCAGAAGGACCGATACAAAAACAGATGGCAAAGAAAACTTTCCAGTGTCCTGGCAGATGATGATGCATCAGGAGGTGTAAACCATTATGTATCACTGCCTGCACCGTGGATGTGTCAAAACAGACCAAAGAAGAACAGAATGCAGGAACTTCCAACATTTGATTATCTACTTTTATTATATAGCTCTGAAGTTTACATGCTTTATTTCAGCTGCACAATATTGTCAAAATCAGGAACATCCTTCCAGAGAATAATGCCCTGGACTGCTGAACTAGAAGATGACACAGTAGCCTTCAGTTAATCCAATATGCTGCAATAAGAGTACTAACAGGGATGAGCAGAGCTAGTATCGCTTCATTTGAAACCCTCAGCTGGCCAAGACTTCATAAACACTCGTAACATTATGCACGCCATAAAAACCTTTAATTACTGATTACTATCAAAGCAAGCTGAGTTGTTTCAGCTGGTATGAGAAAGCAGCTTATCGCGCAGTGAATACAGGACTGTTCCCATTAAAGGATTTTAATACAGACTGCTTTGAATACAACAAGCCTCTAAAGTTTAGAGGCTTGTTGTATTCAAACTTTAGGGAAGAAATCTACCACTGACAGTACACATGTAGATATATATTTAAATTGTGCTGATTATAAAGATGATAATATTTCTGTGTTCTGGTGATTTATCATGTGAATGTTTTAAACATTCAGAGACTTCACGCTCCTGGTGATAGAGTCCCAGTAGGAAGGGTCCCAGGCCAGGAACCAGCCTGTGAAGTTGGGAGGTTCATGGCCTTGTTTCACCACCACCACAGGAGTCAGCTTGTCACGCCCCCTGGGTCAGTCTCAATGTACTGTTTGGCTGCAGAGGAGACAGTGAGTCACAGACAGGAACCTCAAACAAAAGTTTGTTGTAGGATGAATTTTGTAGATAAAAATCTAAAAAACAATATAATTAAGGGTTCCCATTAGCTGTTAGCTATTGTATTTCAGAACAGGTTCAAATAGTCTCTTTATTATTCAAAGATCTTTGAATATTACTATAGTTTGTCTCATGCTACCTAATAACATTCTGACTAAAGTCAAAAGCTCACCAGATTTGAGAGATTCAGCTCTCTCCACCTCGTTTGCATCCTTTCCAATCCAGACAAACACCTACAACAGAAGAGTGCGTGTGAGGGGTTGTTCACTTTGTCCTAAGATGTCTGTCGTGTTCTACAGTTGAGTACCTGGTCCCAGACATCCAGCAGCATCACGTCATCTTCAGCTAAGTCATCCTGTGTGAAATCTCCTGGAACCTCTTCAATCTGCATACAATAACATTTAAACTCAGCTACATTTCAATGATCAGTGTTTAGCACAATGTGACAAAAGTTGAATGAGGATTAGAAGCTCAGAATGTAGGTTTTAATGACACGGGACTGTGTTATAGCACAACTGTCCCACCTGACCACATGGGGAATGTAACAGGTAACTGAAGTGCTGTGAATAACTGTAACCTGTGTTATAAAGGCTGCATTTATTATTTAGAGGAGTGTTTAATGATATCCGGGTCTTCCAGTTTGTTTAAATGCACTACACCAAATGTGCTGATTGTCTGACTGGAAAATATAACAGCACATAATTACTGGTGAAGCAGCTATACATGATGTGGGTCTTATGCTGTCAAGGGCCTATTTAACACAAGTGACTGACATCCAGAAGTGCTACCAGTGGCTGGGCAAAGCTGGACTGAAAGACAGCACAGAGGCGCTAATCATGACCCATAAATAGTTCAAATGTGAGCCTCCAACTACGATTGGATAGTAAGCAAAGAAAACTGTCCCTCCATCTTAGTTTGTTACATCTGTGGGAAACTGTGGCAAAAGTAATACAAACAAAACAAAAAAATGTCATTAGTCTGATAAATAATATAAATTCAGGTTTTTGTTTTCTCATTTTTATGATGAGTGGTCTAATAAATTTGTTAAGCACATAATTTGGGGGCGACCGTGGTTCGGTTATATAAATGCAATACATTATTATTATTATTATTATTATTAATTATTATTATTATTATTTATTATTATTATTATTATTAATTATTATTATTATTATTATAAACGAATACAATAAAAACAGAATAAATAATATGCTGGAAAGAAAAGTAACAAATAGATTCCTTCATGAGGGGAAAATAACACATGTTAAAAACTTACTGTGAACCTGCCAGTCTTGTTGGAACATCCAAAGAGTCGAGGAGGATGAGTCATAGACGGACTCTCCAGCCTCTCTGATGTCTGGTACTCCTTCTTCCCTCCTAATTCAGCCCAGAACTTAGCTGCAAGACAAAATACAAAGTGACATCTCAGAAGCTCATATAATCACATTCAAACATTCATATAGAGCAGACCTTCCCAAAGTGTGGGGCCTGCCCTCTGGGGTGGGGAGGGGTGGGGGCGCAGAGCCATTGCAGGGGGGGACGCGGTATGAAAAGGGGAGGAAAAAACAAAAAAACAAAACGCTTGGACACTGCTAGCACGGGGCGCCCACAGAAACGCAAAGCAGGAGATGAAGCATCGCTGAATATGTTTCCAAACCAACTTCATTCTAAGCCAAAGAGTAGAAAATATGGTGAAGCAAATCTTCCCTTTGGCTTCACCTGCACAAGTGCCGAGGTAGGTCTCCCTGCAGGATTGGTTTTCCTTTAGTCGGGAGCAGCGCTGGGCTCTTCAAATCACGGACAAACAGGATCCCACAGCTGTTTATGTTTTTGAACCCATTTTGCACAGAGAGGCATTTTTTGAAAAATGTGTTGATATCAATGTTGAATATTATTACACAGGAAAAAACAACTACATGTAAAATAATCACACCATGACGCCTCTGCCTTTGTAAATGGAGGGACAGTAACTGCGTGTAAAACCTGCAGACAGTTAGATTACAGTTTTTTCTGATTGCTTAAACCCTAACTGTGATTCCTGTAGCACAATCTCTAAAACTATTCAGACTTATAGCAAAACCACTCACTGAGTTTGCAAAACTAAAAGCACAAAAACTGCTTTGCACTCAGTTTGCAATTTTGTAACACACACTTTGCAAAACTGTAGGCACAATTCACTGCACAACACTCAATTACCAAATTTCCAACACACTCCTAGCAAAAGTATACACATGTATGGCTATGATTAACACTAATTTGCCAACTGTCTGGCACACTTTCACATGTGAAAACTTTTTTAGATAATTCGTTCACTTTGCAATCAGCCTAAGCACTATAATACAGGTAAGCTGTGTGTGCGGAGTACAATGGAGGGAGCAGGAAGAGTGAGAAGTAGAGGAGGCCGAGGAAGATGACGTGGAGGGGAAGAAGTAGGATGAAGAGGACGACAAGGACAAGGAGGAGCAAGAGGAAGACGAGGAGGGGGAGAGGAAGGGTAGGAAGAGTAAGAAATAGAATTGCTGATGACATCAGAGCTACAATAGTGGACCATGTAATCAACCGTGGAATGACCCTGAGGGTAGCTGGCCAACGGGTCCAGCCTAACTCGAGCCGCTACACTGTAGCAAGCACCATAAGGACATCTTGAAATGAGAATTGGTGAGTACAGTCACTTCTCACAAAAATCTGTAGCACTGCATATGCCAATGAGAAACACACCAATACCATTGATGTAAAAATACTGAAATTGTTACTTTACAGAATTGCTAGATGACCAGATGCTGGGGCAGAGGAAGCATGTTCACTGCAGACCAAGTAACCCATATAGTCATTATGGCGATTGCAAATAATCCTATACTTGGAAATAAACACTTGTGTTTGTTTTGATGTGTTTGAATAAACAGCAGTACTTGAAGTTTGGATCCCTCTATGCTTATGGATCTATGACAGAAGTATGAGCTCAAACTGACATAGCCTACCTTGTGCACAGAGAAAGCAAAAGCCAGATGTGTTTTGTATTCATACCATCAGTGTGCAGTTGGCGCATTGTGTGCTTAGTAGATGATGGCTTGTGTGTACTGTTTGATACGGAAACACCATTTTTACAAAGGTGTGAAGAGTTAATTCAGCTGTGTTTGCTTTTGCAAGAGAACTACAATGTTTGATTATTGGTGACAGGTTTTCTTATTTGTGTGAAGAGTTTTGCAAAATTAGCCAATAGTTACAAAAAATGTGCTTAAGCAATCAGAAAAAACTGTAACAGTATTTTGTCTCTATCTCCATTCTGCAATTCATCTCATGTAAACAATAACGTGGCCACAGCGTGACGTGAAAAAGACTCATACCTTTGACGTTGTGTGACGAACTCTGTATTCCTCGTCCACACGTAAACGCAAAAAAGGAGTTTTAAAAATCTCAGTTTTCGGTGATTTGAAACGTCGTTTACGTGGACGAAACAGCTGCGTTTTCAAAAATACCCGTGTAGGTGCGGACGTAGCGTAAAAGAGTTAGTAGTTTATTTTATTACAACCTTTAATTTATTGCAGTTTACTTGTATTTGTTTAATTGTTTACTAAATGTTTGAGGTGTGAAATAAACCGCAATGGAGCAAAATATGGGCGTGTGTGGTTGTGCGTGTGCGTGCGCAGGCGCGCAGAGGGGGAGGGGGGTGCGAGCATTTTTCTTGTAAAACAAAGGGGGCCCAGCAAAAAAAGTTTGGGAACCACTGACATAGGGGATGCTTGGCTGGCTGTAGCTCAGGAGGGAGGTCCAAAAGTTACCACACTAATCACAACTTTTCCAAAATTAAAAATGTATAATGTACTTTTTTCTATGTGAGTGCCTTCTATCTAACATTCACACACATATTCATACTTCGCTGGATGCATCAGAGAGCAACTTGGGTTAGTATCTTTTTTTAAGGGTGTTAAGCCGAGTCTCCCATTCAGTGATCCTGGCCTCCAGAGCTGCAAACAGGCTACAGTTATTACAAGTATCGTTATTACTAAATGAGCCCAAAGAGTAACTGTAGACTAGAAAAATTTGCATTTCCTGCGAAAATGCAGTGTGGATGCTTTAAAGCTGAAGCTGTATGCAAAAAGTAGCTGAAAAAGCTGAAAAGTTGCAGAAATTGTAAAAACTTTGCAGAAGCAAAGGAACTACATTTAGTAGAAATACTATGTTTTAGCACAAATACTATAAAAAGCAGAAATACTATAATTTAGCAGAAATACTATATTAAGCACAAACCCTATAAAAAGCAGAAATAGTATATAATGTAAAAATCCTATAAAAAGCAAAAATAGTATGATTAAGCATAAATACTACATTAGTAGAAATACTATGTTTTAGCACAAATCCTATAAAAAGCAGAAATACTGTACTATGATTTAGTAGAAAAACTATAATTAATCAGAAATACTATATTTGGCAGAAATACTATATTTTGCACAAATCTTATAAAATAGCAGAAATAGTATGATTTAGCACAATAGTAATAAGTGAAACAGAAAAATTGGAAAAGCAAAATGGACAGCTGAAAAAATGGAATAACTTAGCAGAACTGCAATATCTTAGAGGAAACATAATACTTGGCAGAAATACAATAGCAGAGCAGAACTTAGCAGAAATATTGTAACTTACCAGAAACATGATAACTTCTCAAAAATACAAGAATTTAGGAGAAATAGTATAAGATAACAGAAAGAATATATTTAGCCAAAAATACTTAAACATTACAGAAACACTATGATTTAGAAAAATAGTACAACAGAGCAGAAATATTGTGATTTACCAGAGACACTGTGATGAACTATGAATATTGTAATTTTGAATTAATACTATGCTTTAGCACAAATACTATCATTTGACAGAAATACTATGTTTCAGCACAAATATTATAAAAACCAGAAATACTATAATTTAGCAGAAATACTATATTAAGCACAAATCCTATAAAAAGCAGAAATGGTATGATGAAGCATAAATACTACATTTAGTAGAAATACTATGTTTTAGCACAAATACTATAAAAAGCAGAAATACTATAATTTAGCAGAAATACTATATTAAGCACAAATCCTATAAAAAGCAGAAATAGTATGATTTAGCACAATAGTAATAAGTTAAACAGAAAAATTGGAAAAGCAAAATGGACAGCTGAAAAAATGCTGAACATGCTGAGGGTCCCTCAACTATACTTGTTAAATGAAAAAAATCAGCAAAAAAATCTATAACAGCCACACAATCACAAATATGTACACATAAGGAAACACACATGCACAGAGAGACACACACACAAGATCCAATTCAGTCACCCAGTCTAAATATATTGAATTTGAATATTAGAATGAGATCATCCCATTAAAAGCCTCTCTCTCTCTCTCTCTCTCTCTCTCTCTCTCTCTCTCTCTGTCACACACACACACACACACACACACGCACACACACACAAAAAAACACACACACACACACACACAGGGAGAGAAGTAAGTTTCTAGGTCAGCCTGGGAGCTGCTGAATTTAAATCCACCAATCAGAGTGGCTGTGTACTTTTTCCCGCCAAAACAGGTGCATCTATTTACACACGCAGCACAGAGAGCACAGGATTATTGCAGCCTATTTCTCATAGTGAGGACTCCCCTCAAACAAATGACCATAATTTCCTAACCGTAGGGCTAGAGCGGTCATTCTTACACCGTTTTGTTCAGAAGTGATTGGGTAATCTTCAAGTGTTGACAATTTATCATTAAAATATGAATTTTTAGAGATATATGACATGGATGACTTGTTGACTTAGAAGCCACGAATTCCCCCAATATGCAAATTTGAATGCCTGAGGCCACATATATGATTGGCTGGCTGGGAAGCCGTGCAGGCCCTGATTTGTGGATTTGAATTCCTCAGCCCTCAGATATGATTGGCTGGCTTAGAAGCCATGAAGGCCCCAATATGCAAATTTGTATTCCTCAGCCCACATATATGATTGGCTGGGAAACCATGCAGGCCCTGATTGGAAAATTTGAATGTCTAAGTCCTCACAGAGGATTGGCTGCCTGGGGACCTGGCAGAAATATATAGAAATAGTATGATTAAGCATAAATACTACATTTAGTAGAAATACTTTGTTTTAGCACAAATCCTATAAAAAGCACAAATACTATAATTTAGCAGAAATACTATATTAAGCACAAATCCTATAAAAAGCACAAATACTATATAATGCAAAAATCGTATAAAAAGCAAAAATAGTATGATTAAGCATAAATACTACATTTAGTAGAAATACTATATTTTAGCACAAATCCTATAAAAAGCAGAAATACTGTACTATGATTTGGTAGAAAAAACTATAATTAATTAGAAATACTATATTTGGCAGAAATACTATATTTGCACAAATCTTATAAAATAGCAGAAATAGTATGATTTAGCACAATAGTAATAAGTGAAACAGAAAAATTGGAAAAGCAAAATGGACAGCTGAAAAAATGGAATAACTTAGCAGAACTGCAATATCTTAGAGGAAACATAATACT